ATTCAACCCATATCCTGTCTCAGCTTTCGTTAACAGATAGCTGCAATATTTAATGTTAAAACGATTATATAAGCCTATGATTGATGTTATCATTAATACAAATTAGTAAATATATAATAAATAAATTTAAATCCTGCATTAATAAATCTAGAAAACAACTCCGTATGTCTGAACAAGATAGCAAATACTTGGGGGATGGTAGGAGTTTCTGCATGCTCTTATCTCTTGACTGGTTTTAGTTTTATTTGATCATAGCAAAACACCAACGGCTATTTGCCTATGGAGCGGCACGCCTTCATGGAGGACTTTCTAAGGAAAACTGACTCATATACACGTTACACATGGGAAAAACCGCGAAAACGCTCATGCAGCCAGCCCATTCGCCAGACTTCGAACTCCAGACAGAACTACCGATGTTCAGCTATTTTACCGCTCGCCTTTTGGCTGTATTGTTCAGAGACTTTACCGCTCGGCCGTTAATCTCTTGGAAAAAAATCTAGAAATTAAAATCTTATAAAATATTACTTTGAAATATATTTTAAACCTAAGTAAGACATACGTAACTTCATCAGAATCATTCGTGCTCAGGTTACTGCATTTATATGAAAAAAAATATATACGTTTATATTATATGCAACTTTGTTTATCAAAACCATGTTGGAAACCGTTCTGTTTAGTTTGTAGTTTCTCGCACTGTAATCTAATGCCATATATTTTAGCAACGTAGTGTTTATAAGAGAACTCCAGTCTTAGCGATATTTTACTTCCATCAGTGGCAGAGTGTTTAGGACAGCTGGAATGCTGGTAATTCTATCAGGTTCGAAACCAAGCGAACGAAATGGCTGCATTGATGTTTTTCGTGGTTTCGTCCATGTGTAACGAAGAAACGAGCCAGTTTACCTTAGAGAGTCCTCCATAAAGGCATCTCTCTCTTAAAGCAGATAGCTCTCGTGAACTTTGCCACATTTAAATAACCCAGTCGTGCGATATTTAGTGACTTGCCAGACTACACTCAGTTTTTTATAACTTATTTACTGTTCCAAATGTTTGATCTTTATTTATTCTTTGTTTTGCATGGTAAATGCTAGAGGATGCTAAGATTAGAAAAATTAAACCTATTTTACCACACGGAGCTGAAGTATGAAGTACAGAATCTTCCATTTTAAAAATCACATGAACTGTATTTATTTTGCAGTGCTCCTCCTATATAGAATAAAGGAAGTACTTAAGAGCCAAACATCTAAGATGCAATCCAGCTAGTTTTATTGCAGGAATTCGTGCACTTTTATTTTACCCCTCATTTTCCTAAAATACAGAGCTTTCTGTACTAGGAGGAACACGACTGCCTTAAAATTAACAGAAAACGCTCGCCTAGAAATCCAAGAAATGCCGAATGAGTGATCATGATTTCGTCATAGCTTCATGTGATTGAAGATCAAGAAATAGAAATTTTTTTACGAAAGTGAACTTCAGACGTGAAAAAACCGTTACATAACTCTGAAGTAGGAACAGTTAAGTAGAAACCTGGGTGAATATGCTTATTGAAACGTGAATATCACGGTCAGCGGTAAAAATGTTCTGCTTCCTTTGGCAAAAACATATCAAGGTTAGCCTTCTTTTTCTTTCGTATGCATTTCCCAGAAGAAATAGCGCGTGTACCGATTGCTGTGAAAGTGTATAGTATTGGCAATGCGCTGTATAGCTTGTAATTTAGCTGAGATTGAGTTAAGTGGCGCAGTTCGAGAGTGAAAGTTGTTCATCCATGCAGCAGTGTAAGAGGATATAGTGGGATTTTGCTGGATTTGCCAATCAGCGTTTTGTTGAAATCATCTTCAGAAACTGATGCAAATTTCATATTCATTTGGCAATAGGTATTACAAAGTTACAAAGTAAAGTGCCGATGGTTAATCACCATTTAGAATAAAGTGAAACAGAATCTAATAAATCTACCTAAAATGAACAAAACAAAAATCAAACATCACAAAGCACAGACTTAAAAATCAATCCTGAAACAGAACGTAAATTAAAAAAATAAAACAATTAAATAAAAAAGTTGATAAATAATTTTTAATTAAATATTTTTCAGCTAATGATCTCTCGCTCTGTCTGCATGTATATGCACATACGAGCTTAAATACGTAAGCATGATTTACGTGATATAAGTACCATGTTTTAGCGCTTAATGTATTTAATCAAATGAAATCAATAATGGCGTTGCTGAAAAGCAGTTGTTTTGATAGCGTAATATTCTTAATAATATATTATTTCTGGTCACTTGACAGGGTTAGGATGCTTATGATCAACAGTCTTACGTCTATCTTATGAACCCATAATAAACAAGGATTATTTTTTAGCTCTTATGCTATTACATTTATTCTCCTTATTCTATTCCCTAAATTTCTAAATCCTGTTTCATGATAATTTGAGACAAAGCAATAATGTGTCAAGACGCTCATTTCATGAGCGCTATTCGAATTTTCTTTTCTACTTCTTTTGGATTATGATAAATAACAAGTTTAGTAACCCGTTGTGGTCGTTTTAAGTTTCTACATAGGTATCATGCTGCTCGGAATTAATTTTCATTAAACGAACAGTAATATATAATATGCAAGATTATGAAGTTCATCGACTAATTATAATAAAAATCAGCATAGCTGTTTGCTGTGGTGGCTGATGGCAGACATACGAATGGAACGTTATAAAAGGTATTAAGTTGAGAGTGGACATACGACCTTAAAGAGACTTAAAACGAATATTCAAGCATAACAAAACTGGAAATAAAATCTAGCTTTCCAAATGTAGGATATATATAATAACTGTTGGTGATTTAAAATGTCTTTGATAAACTCAAGAATCAGGTCAGGAAAACAAACCATTTTTACATAAGAGTTTCAAACACAACCTGCGTGTGGTAGAAGACACTGTTTGCCATAAAATGACATTGAGCAAGGCGAGTCATTATTCGAAGCGTTGGCTGTAAGATGCACTGTTTCAGAAGTACTGAAAACACTGATGCTCGTTTTGCTTATGGTATTGGAGGTACCATAGTTTGCAAGCAGCGAATAGAAATGCACAGTCAGCCAAATGAATAATAAATCTTGAATGGTATGCACCCTGACACGTTATCAAACTTTTATACAGTTTCACCATAAAGTCCGTAAAACTAGAATAAACTATGCGCACTTCCTCTAAAATTCTTAACATATGTGAATCTAATAAAAATGTGAATCACCATATCTGCATTTCTTTATTTTTTATTATTTTTGCTCTGTTAAACACACCAAACTGATATTTGGTTTCTAAGAGAATATTGATATAGTCTCTTGCTAAGCTTCTGAGGTTGATTAATCCTGCAGCCCACCATCTGGCCCTAGGTCGTATATATACGGCCTGGCCGTTTAGAGGGTTACGTATAAGCCTGTTTAAAAATATTTTTAAAATTTTAAGCGTTGATACCTGTCGAATGGTATAAGTGAAACCGTATGAAAATTCGCGGAAACTATCAAAATCATATTGGACAAGAGATTGGGCAATAAAACGGCGATATGTAAAATAATGAACAAAATTAATTCCAGACATTATTAATCAGGAAAGCTAATAAAACGAAAATACAAAGGTTGGGCTTTTGAAAAGAAACAGGAGGGAAATATAATATGCTATATATAATCTTGTTTCGCATTTTCAAAAATATAAAAAATTTTAATTTCTCCTGAAAATCTAAAGGCAAGTACATCACTTGCAATGCGTCTTCATATTAAACTAAGCATGAGAGAAAATATAGACAGCATAAATAAAAATATGGATAATACTTTAACAGTTAAAGTTTGAGTAGGCACATTCAGGAAATAAAATCCAATTTCTTTGATAAAAAACTCTTTTTTCCATTTATTACTTTTTAATTTAAAAACAGTTGAAAACATTACAGTGAGATAATCGCTATCTACATTCAATATTTTTAGTTCAGTCACATACGAATGAAAAAATAAATTGTTGGATTCTTCTTATTATTTAGATCCTTACTGTAACTTCATCTTTCCATTTCCACGCCAGAATGCAAATTAGTTCGCGAGTATCTAAATTGAGGTTTTTAGATTGTAAGACGGAGAGTGTTTCTGCCTGTGTGCCCGCACATTATTTGTCTTCCATCTCCAAAAATCTGAAGTCACTCGGCTTCACATATTTGGCGGTCACATACTCGGTCACTCACATATTTGGCGCCGATATATTTGAATATCTAGGCCAGTTAAGTTGTGAGCCAACTTCGCATTAAACTGAATTGTGTAGTCTTTGATTACTTATTTTAAATTGAATTTACTGTTATTTTAAGTTATCTCGCCATACGTTCTGGCTGATTTGTAAGCACCAGGTATGCCTTTAAGTTTTAATAAAAAGGATCTTTTACACCCTCCTTAGGTCTCAGTTGTTATTTTAGATTTAGCGATAATTTGCCATCGGTCTATCTGAAGTTTGGTTACAATTTATGTTAGCTGAAAAGACTAAACTTTATGAAATAAAAATGTTAAAAATAAATTAACATTTTATTTTATTATTTATTTTGTTTATTTATTTATAGCTCTGCAGATATCTATTATTTAAAACGAACTTTTTTTTTTTACTTAGAAATTACATAAAACGTAGAACACTGATACTTAAGGTTTTAGTTTTTATTGGAATAAAAGCTGCAGAGAAAAAATTAGCTGTTTTTGATAAACCTGGTAACTTATACATAGAAGTGCCTCAAAGATTTTTAAAAAATTGGCTAAACTTCACCTTCAAATACTCTCGTATGCGACTAAGATGTTTTTAATACTATAATATTATCCTCTTTTGTTAGTTCCATCCACTCTTAAAAACAAATTTTGATATAGTATTTTCAACAAGCTAGAAGTTTCAGTGACTCTAATTCAGTGCATTCAGAGAACAAAATTTAGTTACTGAAAATCAGTCATTAAATGCACTAAATGTTGAGGTAGAAAAACGCTTAATAAAAGTGCTCTTACCTTGCACCCTTCACATGTGAAAGCGCCAAAGTGGTAGCCCGCGGCTGGTTCACCGCAAACTTTGCACAACTGGTTCATCTGATAAAGACAACAGAAATCATTTCATTCATACAACAGATCAACAACAATAATCATCATAATAAGACCTACTACTAGAAAGCAAATTATATTTTTATAAAGTAAAAGAAATAGATGTGTTACACGATATGCTTATTTAAAAATAGTTCTAATAAATCAAAACTTGCTTTGTTGTACGATTCTGCTATTTTATGTATAACTCTCTGTGAAGGCCGTCAGTAAACATGAGCTGAATGTTATAAAAATGAATTAAAAAAGGTTTTTGGCCATTTTTCGTCAGGAAATTTTATTTTGCTTCAATAAAGTATGAGAATTTGCACATTAAATGAAAGAAATTCATTTGAACGTAAATAGCATACTAAAATTTGTTTAAAACGTTACACAATTCAGTTAAAAAATTAAAAAGTAGACGTGTTAATCATCTTAATATAGGAGAAGTGTTAAGTTGAATACTTACTGCAGCAAATTAACCCTTACTAAATCTATCAGTATTCTAGTCAAACAACTTTAGTTAGATGACCAAAACATTGATGTTCTTTAATATTTATTCTTGTAGTTGGTCTTTCTTATAACTAAAACTTACTAACGTCTAAATCGCTTATGTCTAAATGTTCATGTCTAAATCGCTTAATAAGTATATATTTTGAATAATTAAAAATTAAGTAAAAAATCTTTACAAGTAAAAAACGTTTCATGCAATCAGTATAATTTTACGCTTGAAAACAAAAATGTATATCCTAAGAAGCATGTTAATGTATTAGAAGTTATTAATTTCGATTTATTTACGTACTTCTGTTGCAGTTTCCAATATTTAGTTTCGTTGAGAAACTGTAAACGTTTCGGAATACCAGATATACTCACAAACGAGATTCAGTTTGTCATATAGCCTACGACAATATTTTAAAGCAGTTATCTAAAATGGTTTAAATGCTATGAAATTAATTTGTAAGCAAAGTATTTCTACTCTTCTAATTGCAATAATACATAACTGATCGGATAGCCCTTTGAATAAAATCTTTTAGTTATTTTCGTAATAATTTTATAAATTTTGGTTTGGTTTATTTAATTATGGCAAAGCACACTATAGGACTATAAGCCTAAGGGAAGGAATGCCTTCGTGGAGAACTTTCTAAGGGAAACTGGCTCGTATACACGTTACAGATGGGGGAAAACCATGAAAACGCCCATGCAGCCAGCCCGTTTGCGGGATTCGAACCTCGGACCGAACTACCAATGTTCAGCGACTTTACCGCTCGGCCGCTGGTGGGCCAATTTTATAAATTTAATCCATTCATTCACTACAGAAACAACGAAAACAATGAAGGGATGATTATGGGATTTCTTGTGTAAGATTTTAAGACTATTATTACACTTTCAACCGAAAGATATTAGTCGAATTATTGGGGTTTGATAAATACTTTTAATGCGAAGCATTAACTGAGAAAATGGATATTACAATCTTAACTTGTCTGGCATCGAAAAGCGATTTGCAATACGGGTAGGCTGATCTTCACCTTAAAAGCTCTTTTCAAAATAATGATTATATGTTTAAGATTTGTATAAAATATAAATTTCAAGGCCAAGTATGGTATTGCGAAAATGATTTAACTTTAATAATTGAAATTAGTACTACACGAAACATAAATAATATATTACCTGCATCCAAATAAATCAGTTTCAAAATTCTGTGTTACGGAGAAATGAAGGATTTATTTTCAAGAAGATAAAGTTAACAGGTGGAATTTACGATAATAACTTGTAGGATTATAGAAAAAAAAAATGATGAATAGAACTAAAATTCTTACATTGCTTGAATTTTCAAAAAAAAAAAAAATTCAAAATATAGGTATTTACCATTTCTAAGCGTCTTACACAAAACCATTTCTAGTTCTTATGGATGCTGAAACAGCTTCGAAAAAAAAAATTAAGCAGCTGTTACCACGTTACACATGGGAAAACCCATGCTAACGACCATGCAGTCAGCCCGTTCGCCGCGTTTCGAACCGAACTACCAGTATTCAGCAACTTTACCACTGGTGAGCCCAAAGAGGGTTGAATTCATTTTTTTTGTTTAAATTTATCTTAAAAATGTAAAACAATTGAAAGTTTCCAAAGACTTTTGTTTTGGAGACTGTTTTGGAGGACTTATCCTTTTGTTTCTAAGCCTCGAGTAGCAAGTTAGTTATTTTTTAAAGCATGTTAATAAAATTTTACACATACAATATTAACTTTCTAATGCTGAAAGAGTATACAGTTGTAATACGTAAGTTGTAGGATTCTATGTTAACTAACTAGTTATTATGATTTAAACTTCTTCCAGAATGCAAATTAGTTGTCGAATATTTAAGCCGAGGGTTTGAATGTTTTAGAGTTAGAACTTCTGACAGCTACCCATTGCATTTACGTACTATAGCCAGCTCTGCCAAACTTTTAATTCGACTTTAGCCACTTTGCTAACCGACGCTTAAAGCAGTCTAGTTTGAGTAATCTCCGACTACGTTACTTGAAATTAATTTCTACTTAGGTTATTTTAAGTACTCGCAAGTAACGAAGTTATATTCTGTAGCCCAACTGGTGCTTTCTGTTAATTTAAAAACCCAATGAAAAGATTATTTTAACATTTCTAAAACCTTGTATTTAACTCGTTTGTCAATCTAATAGAACCTCAAAGGCACTGATATAAGCTCCTATACAAGAAAAAACCCTACGACGTATCGAATGGAATATGATAGATCTTCCCGGATCGTAAATCTTAGTGTAACACATGTAATCAGTTTTTTGTTTAGTTCCATGGTGTATTTAACATGGTGTATTTAATTATGGCAAAGCACACTAGGGCTATCTGCCTAAGGGGAGGGATGCCTTCGTGGAGGACTTTCTAAGGGAAACTGGCTCGTATACACGTTACACATGGGGAAAACCACGAAAACGCCCATGCAGCCAGCCCGTTCGCGGGATTCGAACCTCAGACCGAACTACCAGGGTTCAGCGACTTTACCGCTCGGCCGCTGGTGGGCCCTCGTTTAGTTCCACAACTGGAAATTGTAAAAGATTTAGTAACTCTAATGTTAATTTTTATGGTCATTTTTCTTCACTAAACTTTAATAACCGAAAATTACCATTTAAATCTGGAAAAGAAACTGACCACCTCAGATGCATCACAAATGCAGGATTTTATGCGTTGCAGTGTATAAATCTACAATTAATTGAACAAAAAGCAAATGTCTTCATTCTAAACTAAAAGCATATTTTGCTTGACGATGAGGTTAGTTGATGGTCATTGACTCATTTTACAAAACTTTTAACCATGTTCTTGGTTATAACCCTTAGTTATGGGCCCAGTAACATAATTAAAAATTTTAATACCTTGGGCCTATCAGTTTATCAATGGAAATCATAATCCCTTCAGCTTTCCTTGCCCAGAGAATACAATATTAATATTATCATCAATGAAAATGGCCCAACAGATCATTTGCTAGTTTTTTCGAATCTGTGACATACGTACCCATCAGCATCGAAATTAAGAAAAGAACGAAATATACGGCAATGCTGATGCTTCATGGTTAAAGTCGTAAAAATTGTTATCATTTTTATTCTATTATTATTTTTAAATTGCTATTATTATACTCAGATTAATCCTAAGTTAGTACAGAAAAGTCTCATACTGCTAACTTTGCATAACTGTCACTGTAACTGTCACTGAATGATATTTGTAATTGAGTAAGACACACAAATGGAGAAATAGGGAAAGGGGGTTTTCTTTTAAAAAGTAGCCCCGGCTTTCAAGCGTGAAAGGACTCAATCAAAGAGGTTGTCAAAGCTTTAGTGCAAAGACTTACTATATACCTAATATATCAGTTCTTTCGTAAAAAAATTTAATTTGCTAAACAATTTTTCAGTAAAATTAGGCAATATTTATTAAGCCTCAAACTTTACTGTTCTATGGATTTATATTTGAAATTCCGGCTGTCGCCTTCGAGTAGAATATTGTATACCTGCTAGTTGAAATAAATATTCTCTATAAGTTTAAAAATCTGTACATATATTAAAGTGTGCTGCTGATATTTATAAAAATTGAAATTATAATTTATATTTGGGATTAAGATACTATCCAAATACTTTTAGCAAAAAATTTAGAATCAAGTAGTTATCAGACATCTCATAAGAGATGTCAAGTTGTGTTAGGTTACAGGTTATTCGAACATGGCAAAGCATGCAAGGGTTATTGTAGGACGGACGCCTTCGTAGGAGAATTTCTGATAGAAACTTGCTCGTATTCACGTAATACATTGGGAAACCACGAAACCCAACCACCAATCAGCCCATTCGCCTGGGTTTCAACCAAAGTACCAACGTTCAGATCTTTTAAACATTAAACTACTGATAGGTCTGACAGATGTAATGAGGTATGGGTATATTTTTTAGACATACTTTTATGTCCTTTTTTCGTTGCTATATCCTTTTAGAATACAAGATGTAGCAATGTTTTTCATATATTTCTACAAATATTTTTACAAAAGCAAACTTCTTCGTCTTAACTGGCTTTAGTAAACTTAAAAATCTTTTTCCATCTATTTCTTTCTTAATTATCGAAAAATTCCTAAACCTTTAAGCATTTAGTAAAATCTAATTTAATCCAAGCGTCCTCGAAACACTGCAGTGTACAAAAATTTCATTAAAGATACCAATAATATGTACGGATGATGCTTTTGACGCTTTATAATAATCCATAGAGGACTTACTAACATTTAAGGATGTTTTCGGATGAGGAATCGTTGCTTTTATTATCGAGACTCAAAAAACATATATATATTATGTTAGTAAATATAACTAAAGTGATGAAGTGCAACCCAGCAACTGAGCATACTTAAAACGCTCAAGATTAAAAATGTCTTCTAGGATTCCAATATTTTTAATGGAGCAGAAGGGTTTTGTGAAATCTTTCTGGATGCTTAAAGTGAATACAAATCAGTGCTCATTAGTTGATATGAAGGTCGGTT